TCTTGCACAAATTGCAAACGATTTTTTCTAAGCGCTAAAAAAAATGTGTAACAGAGTAGATCTTTTATGGCCGCTACTGCATTTACTTTCAATCGTTTAAAATGAAAATTAAAATTATCTTTATTTTGAAACACTACTTATAACGATAAGAAATCCTTTTCGCGTATTAAAGAAAAAATCCACGTTCAATAGAAAATATATGAGAGAAATTAGCAAATGTTATGTACCGGTAATAGAAAGATTTTTTAATGCGTTAGTGTCGTGAATAAGTTGACGCCTGACTGAAATTGCAACTTCAGTTGACTGAAGATGTATTTGACTGAAATTAGCCCTTAAAATTAGATCATCCTGCATGCATTGGTTAGCAATAGTCAGCTGAAGTTGAAACTTCATTCAGGTGTCAACTTCAGTCATATGATTTATTAAGGATTTGTACACGTCTCCAATAAAGGTTATAATAATTAAGAATATTATAGAATTATTATTCAAAATATGAGGGTAAAGCTTCGCTTAATATGTATTAAAAAATTTATTCGTACCGGTGCATTGATTCTTTAATTAGTTTTATTGTTGATATTAACATTTTGCTCTACATAAATTAGCTAATCAAAATCTGTAAATCGTCCATTTGTTGTATGAAATACAGTATATCCTAACCAAGATCGTTAGTTAAGTCGCAGAAAAACAACCGGTAATAGTTTGAAAGGCTATTTCCAATATTTATAATTATCTTGATCATAATAAATTAGTAATGAAGGTTTTAGAAATACGAGAGGAAAAAGTGAATTAATAGAAATTTTAATAATTGGATAATATTTGTTATATTGAAAAAAATTATTAAATAAAGAAACACTGAAAGCAAATTTTAACGTTGCAAAAAACAGGCAAACTACGTATTGCTAAATCGGTCTTTATATCTACATTGTAATAATTTATTCACTGATAATTTTATTTATATTAATTCACTAATGCTCTAATAATTTGATTCGAAAAATATCTTAATTTACCAAAAGCTGCAGATTTTGACAATCAAAAGCAGATATATACTGTAAAACGGCTATAACTTCAAATCATAACTATTCATGGAATGCCGACATAGATCAAACCCAGTGCATACATATGAAATTCGACATATGTGCTTTGAAATTGTTCCCTTGAAAAAATTTTAAGCGAAGTAATACCATTTTCATAAGATTTTCACTTACTACTAATATTTCCCAAGGAAGTGAAGAAACAATTGAAGGTACAGTACATCTTGAACTTTATGATCAACGTTGGAAAAACAATCCTACTAATAATCAGAAACTAAATAAATTGACAATACTTTAAACTAACTTATTCCTAACGATAAGTCAACACCATTCTATCATTCAAAATAACTAAACGTTTTCAGGTCATCAATATAAATTCACTTGCAATTACAACACCATCTCTATTTTCTTTATATACAATATGTTGTGGATAAAACTGAGAACCTAGCCCAGATCAGATGATCGGATAATGACTTAATGATCACTAGCCAGTGATCAGTTATTCATTGTTTGATTACCTGATATGGGCCAAATTTTGGTTATATTCACTTTGCGGATAATAACCCGGGACATTCGAATCCGATGATTTCCGAGATCGACATTACATAAGTATTTATATAGGATAGTAGTGTAAAAACCAGAAATTTCGGATATAGGAGAACTTAAAAAAAATTAAACATACTATACTTTACTAATAAAATACATTCGCAGCGAACGTCTTGTTAAAGCATCAAGCTGCATCAAGTTTGTATCACGTTACAAAAGGTAGATCTATTAAGAGTTGAAGCATTGTCTGCCGTATAGTAAGAGTTAGAAAAGTATATTGCACTGCTTAATTCGCAAAGTTTAACGCTGTTTTTTCTTTCTTAATTATTATCAATTCAATTATTAACTTGCTAATTTTATTCACAAACTTATGCAGACTCTTTATTAAAGTTATACATGCTTCTTAATATGTACGATAGTATAGTTTTATTAATTACATGAGGTTTTTAAGAAAAATGATCGAAGGACGTGTAACTTGCTATTAAAACTCTCTTAAAATAAGTTTTTAAAATTGTAAAGCTGCTATTATAATGTGGGTGAATAGTTAAATCCCTTTACAACGCGAGTTGTTTTATTTCGAAGTTAAACTATGAACGAAATTGTCATATATGAATAATGCTCGTTGATTGGCTGCTTAGTTCAACTACAGTCAGACCTCTATATAGTCACATTTTTATAATCACACCTCTATATAAGCACTTAATTTTTTTAAATAAACTACTATAAATATATAGAAAAACCTTCTATATAACATTTTTAAAAAAAGTTCTATGCTCCCAACTAAGTGATTATATAGAGGGTTGACTGTATTATCTGTCTGTTTTGATCATGTGTTGATAAAGCTTGTTTTTGATTGGTCAACAATCTTATGACAAAGCCCGTGATTTCCAAATAGTGAGAAAGTCCCCCTGCTACAGATAATTATTTTTACTATATTGCTCTATACTATACATGCTTTTTGACTGAATAAAAATATACAGATTTTCCCTTTTATTTATGCTCTGATAAGAGCCGATGTTTAATTCAGGCTTTAAAAATTTCATATATAGACGAGTCTTCATAAAAGAACGGCCCTTGTAATATTCGATTAACATATTTGTATACGATATTTATTTCTTGCCCGTCGTTCAACAATGGGCTTTAATACCTAGTTTTATTACAAAAATCTTATTATCACTATGTAAGCTACACTGTGCGTGACCTGCAAATGTTAATGAACTAGAAGTACACTTTCTTTTTCAACAGTAATGAATTATAAACTGTTATTTGAGGATGTAGTTCTTGATTGCTTTTGCGTTGTTTGAGGATGTGATTCTTGACTGCTTTCGCTAACTGCACTAGAGTTACTCTTAATGGAAATATTTCCATTGTCATATCTATTTTTCCAACTTTCATATGAAATATATAGGATCGCATTTCCTAGTCCACCCAAATTTATAGAAATTACCGTTGCAGTATAAATCCATATATTTTCGTACTAGAAAAAAAAATAAAACCGGGATGGAGTGTTATAAAAAAAATAAATAGCAGTAATCGGGCAGTTACAAAGAATTGTAGCTTAAATGATACAGAAATAATAATAACATTCACACTTACTTGAAACATTTGAGTTATGAAAAAAACAACACTGGGGGTCCATGTTAAAAGGAATATTAGAACATAACCTATAATTTTCTTCACAACAATAAGATCAATTCGACTAATTGTAGCATTATCAGAACCAGATCGTTGCATATGATATTGATCATTCACTTCCAATAAGGTCATAAAATAACAAAATAACGTAATTACTAGTATTAAAAAAAACAGTGCAACAGTTATTATTGACTGTATCGGATCAGCCTGAGTTTTATAGCAGCTATTAAGTAATATATACTGTATAAGTATTGACGTTAGCATAACTTAAAAACATAATTAATATGAACATGACATACCAAAATTTACTCGGTCCGTAATCTTTAACTCCAATCAGGGTTAAGAATAAAGATATTAAAGAAATTATCAAAAATAATTTATAATCATATATTCCCATGTCAATAAAGTATTTTTTACATACTCGGAGGTAAGTCATCAAAGACAATAACCCAATTAAGGTCAAATTATACGAAACAATAAAAAATGATATTCCACCAACTACTTTACATCCTTCTCCTTGAATCGGATGACCATGAATAGTCGTGTATCCCTTATATAACGAAAATAAGTTAAATATATAGAATTCTTATTATCAATTAAGTAATACATACCATATCCAATAGACTGATGCCAAATAACATAAATTCTAATTTATTTTGATAATTGAAATGGTCTAAATTTACACGAGTATATTTAGCATATTTAAATGTAGCGGCCATAAAAGATCTACTCTGTTACACATTTTTTTTAGCGCTTAGAAAAAATCGTTTGCAATTTGTGCAAGA